GGAAAAAAAAAAAAAAAAAAAAAACATTAAAGAAAACTTAATCAAGAGATAAGTCAATCATCAGTAGCATGAGACAAACCTGAACAAAAACCAAGAGCAAGAACATGAAAATAGCATTTGACACCCTTCTTACAGTTCTAGATCTGCTAATATGATGGACCACAAACACTTCCACCTCCCTTTTATATTATGATTCAAAAAGAATATAATAACTTCACAAAATGCATTCAGTTCCCATATAATATACTTGGATTGAAATGAATTTCCATTTTGAAAAAAATAAAAAGAACAGTTTGAGAATATTCCCTCTCACATTTCTCCAGAAAATTTCTTTAAAATGTGACAAGAGCACAAAGGTTTGAGCTAGAAAGGCATTTTTCTCCTCATGATATTCTGTAGTCTTCTGTATTTACACTGAAGCAAATGAGCAGAAGTCTGAAGAAATTAAACGCTTTAGAGTGCTAAAATCAAAACATAAGCAATACAATTTTTTAATTTCAGTATTTTAAAGTACAGAAAGTGGAAACTATGAATACCAAATACAAATTTAAACAAAGCCACTTGTTCTCCCCTAGAATAATCAATGTGAACTACTTATAGAAACTTACAAATTTAAAGTAAAATCGAAACAAAATAAATACTGTACATACACTTTCCCTGCCTGCAGGCAAAAGAGGATGGGAAATACTGTTATGAATTGAAAAAAATGCTCTTAAAGCTGCAGCATCCCATTTCCCAGCCAAATACTTAACACAGTAGTGCGTTTCTGTAAAAAGGAAGACACACGTACACCGACCCCTACTGAGCAGACAAGCTAATATCTTCAGAGACATTAGAAGTAAAGGTAGAAATTAGACTATGAGAGTAGAAAAAGGAGAGGAAAAGACAAAAGGGCCAGCAAAATGTTACTACAAAACTAGTAAATATAGCCAAGAACTAGCCCCCCCCTTTTTTTTTTTTCAAATTCCACTTTTTTAAAAAAAAAAAAAATTCACCAAAGCATTGGCAGCAATAGACATTTCCCAGCAGAAGTGACAATTCGTATCAATATAATCTCTTAAAGTGATCCCTTTCATTCCCTTCCCACAGCATGAAACTCTTATGGCTTGATTTATATTAAAAGTAGAAAAAGTTTTTTTTTTTCCAAACAGAAATGCAGCCTATGAAGAACATGCATTTCCTTATCAGTGCTACTTTATTTCCCATCCACTGCATGATTTATCACTCGTATGCTCCCATGAGGGTTACTAGGGTGGTTTTTCTTGGGTGTGGGTTTTTTTTTTTTTTTTGGAAAAATGGATGTTGCAGCTTATAATCTTGTTTAACCACAAATAGTAAGGCCCTTGGTTCTATTTATATTTCTTCTGTGAAAGAGTAGCCCTGGGCTCACTCAACCCCAGAGCTACAAACAGCTTTTAATGGTCTGGAAGTATTAAGTGAATGAAACTCTGGAAAGACACTAGATTTGGGGGTCATGGAGGGGTGTGAAGGGATAGGTGGGCATGTGAAGCCTAAACAGGGCACTAGTTATAGGTTTGTAGTACCAGGTCATTCTAGCTTCAGTTCTGCTTAGTCTCCACAATTACCAAAAAGGGGGTAGGCAAGATTCACGTCAGCTCTGACTCTGAAATCCTGCAAAAATTTTCAACATTTACAGATTCATGGCCTTGTGAATGAAGGTAGCTTATGCCATACAGCAAAGCCTAGGGAAAGCTGAAGCTTCTAAAATGTGATCATGACACTGTGCTCTCTTAGATCTCTACTAAAGGTAACACAAGCACTTCAACCACCAAAAAAAACAAAACCCCCCAAATGCCCCATGTGATCAGAAAGCAACAATTTTAACTCTCAACATCTAACTCTTTCAAAATTGTCTTTAAGAATGGATTCATGTAGAGTATTATAGGTTGCATAGGTAATCTACCTCAGAGGTCAACAAAGGCTACCTTGTAGCCAGGGTTTATTAGCAAGTATAGTAGGAAGAGAAAAGGGAAAGTTGCTGGAAAAGTCTGTGATATGGTTTCTAGGTGGTCTTTCCATTTTCATGTTTGTTTCCTTTTTTTTTTCCATTGCAGGAACGTGAGAACTTAGAGAATGGGAAAACCCCTACAATATTTCATTTCCTATTGTTCTGTCTACAAGAAAAAAAAAAATAATCCTAAGTTTTATGTCAAATCCAAGTTCTCTGACTCTTCAAAAAAAGATTATCCTTGAAAACGAGTTGCCATAGCAGGCTTAATTCTCTTTGTTGTTCAGTCAGTGTTCCCTACTCCCTCCCTCTTCCACCCCAAGTGAAACAGCAAGGAAAAAAATAGGGCTTTTTCTCTCCACTACAACAACACAAGGTTCAGTCCGTCTTCAGAAAGATTGGTGCAGTAGTGTTTTCATCTAGAACACAATAAAAATATCCCTACATACAAGTACACAAAACAAGTGAGGTCACCACAATCTCTTCATGAGCTACCAGGAGACTTTTTTTCCCCCTTTGTTTTTTTTGTTTGTTTGTTGTTTTTTTTTTTTAAATACTGCTCATCATGGCAATTTCTTTTCAATTACTTGTTCTGAGGTGGAACATCAGAATTAACTTCTGCTGGAAGCATGGATATCTGAAGAAAATGGGAATGAACCTCTGCCTGTTGACAGACTGCAAAGAGACTATTACATAAATTCATGACAGTGGAGAGCCACTTTAGGGGAAAAAAAAGGTTAGAAAGTAGAGTAAAGAAATAATAAAACCAAGAAGAAATAATATATATGGGTCCAGCCACATCTGTGTTCCAATAGTAAGATACAGATAAATAATGCAGATGGTCAGAAAATAGACTTTGTACAAGCCAGCCACATGTACAAGAAAGCATACTCTATATTTTAAAATTCCTTACTCCAGATTCTATTCTGGCATACTTCTATTCCAGATAAGCGTTCTGAAAAACCTGCCTTTAAGGAGAGAAAGCTCATTCTTCATTCTGCTCTGAATCCAATTGTTGCCTTAAACTGGAATTTTCTATTATTATACAGCCAACAAGAAGGAAAGAGTTTGGTTCAATATGCTAAAGCTAGAACAGTTTCCAAAGCCTGGTAGACATTAATCCATTTGCTCAAGCTTAAGCACAGAGAATATTTATATGGGTATAAAATTTTAACTAATATTGACAACACAGTTTATTTATTTGACTTACTCTGATGAGAACATATTAGAAGACTTTTAAAATACTACCTTTTAACTATTTCCATCTGGAAAACATAGCACCTGAGAACAGCAAGTACTTATAGTCACTTTCAGCACCTGTAGAGTACCCCTTAGCTTATCTTCTGCTTTCTAGAAATCCTTCATTACCCCCATTCCCAATAGTCTAAACAAGGCTGATAGCTTGCATTACATTAAAAAAAAAAAAATAAATAAAAATAGACTGAAAACATGCTTTTGTGAAACCATAATTAGCAAACAAAAAAAGGTTAAAAAAAAATTCACCCATAGGCACACACAGAAAACTATAAAGTCAAGTCAATATAATGTAAAAGCAGGGCTGCAAAAAACACTCCCAAGTTATAGTTTTAAAGATCCAGGAGAAGTAAAGGCATGAAAGCTACCTGACTTATTTGCAGTTGCATTATGTTTTGATATTTCTCAATTTAGAAACAGGGTAATATAGTGCTAAATAGTTTTGACTCTGCAGCAATCCAAAACACCTGACATCAGAACTATTTCCATAAATTTGTAAAGACATTCATAATCTAGCCTAGATAAAAATAACTCTGCACAAATATTCTGGAAAGTCCAACTGAATTTGTTTTTAAACCACCACAAGAGAAAATGATTCCAGTATAGAATATGGAGGAAGGAAAAACTGGTATGGAAAGTTACAATCAATTCAATGACTTGGATAGCTATGCTTGAATATTTTTACTCTTAGCAACCAAAAAAAAAAGCCCCAAAACAATATTGTAGTCACTAGCACATTAATGTTTACATTTTGGCTGGACCCTGCAAAATGCCCTTTTTCCAGAATCAAGTAAAAGTATTCCCCTTTCCGCCTTCATCCCCATCCCCCAAAAGTTAAATATTTAATTTTATATTACAGAAAAATACAAATTTTAAATCAAAATTATTTACAATAATTCAGAATCAGCATTTGCTATCAGCTCTGTATGAAGCCTGACACAAATGATTATTCTGATACCAGTAAGCTACTTAATGCTTATATATGCACCAGTTAAGACTCTTAATTGGCTGTCTCACCCAGCTTTGAAAACAATACACATTCTCCTGCCTTCCTGACTCTTCAGTAAAATGTGTTTAAAGTACAGTAATAATATTTTAATGCTTCTTCTATGCTACATTAAGTAATATGCCAAATCTTAAGACTGCAATGTCTATCTTAGGAGTTATTTCAGAGTAATTGTTCTGAAGAAACATTTATCTTCACTGATGTCCCTGATCCTCCAAAAAGATATATTATATTTCCCTCCTTTGTACCAATTCTTAAATAACCTGTACAAATACAATTTTGGGGAGCCTGTGTACAGAAGAAAATCATCACAGACAGATCATCAGGAGGAAAAGTATGCACTCCAATTCAGAGGAAAGGGGTGCAGTCTAAAACAAGTTAGCTACTGGACTGACATAAGAAGATTCTTCTGTCTTTAGGAGTCTCTTCTAGTCTATCAAATAAATAAATCTGTATTAAAGAGGACAGGTCAAAAATAATCAAGCTGGCAGAGAATATGCAACTTGCAAGCCAACAGAAGCCGAGCCAATAGCTTACAAAAAGCAGGGAAAAAAAAAGATTCCATATGCCTTAATTTAAAAAATAATTAATAATGCATCTCACCCCTATTTAAGACTATAACATGAATATCAAATTTAGGAGTCCAGACTAATCACAATTAATGTGGCTCTCCACTGCACCAAACATACATTATCAAAACAATTAAAAACTTTCACATTCTTAAATCTAAATTAATAACCCCCACAAAAAAAGTCTTCCAAATAAATAGGTTTTTAAAATGAATTTAAAAGTTGTCAAAATCTATCAGAAATAAATTATTGATAAACCACCTTCATCACCTTCCCCTCATTAATTAGGTCAGAAACTACCAGCAACAAATGATATTCAAGCCCTGATGAGAGACTATTTCTCACAGTCCATGTCTCTCTGAAGATTTCCCCATTCCCGTATGGTTATTGCTGAGCAGGTGTGGCACAGTGAAAATGCAGCATTGGGTTGTTGTGTTTTTTTTTTTTCTTTCTTGTTTTGTTCTTCAGGCAGTTTTATACGGTACATGCAAGTCTGCTTCAAGCAGAGGAATAACAGCAGCTCCAGGCTCTGTTGACCTCAATACTGGTCTGTGTAGGAAAGACAGCAGTAGTAGAAGTAGCAGCTACATTAAACAAAGAAGCGTGCATGGCCATTCCGGTTCAGCTTCAAGATCTTCCCAAGGCGCTGTTTAGCAGTTGCCATTCCTTTCTTTGGACGTTTGCCTGAAAAATGAAATCAAGTACTTCAATCAGGAATTTCAGAACAAATGTTTATCATTGTAGAACAAAGATGAAACCCAGTTTTCAAGCTGAAGCAGGTAAAATTTTCGTATGAATCAGTTTTTTAAAAAAAAAAACAAAACCAAAAAGAACCCCAAAAAACCCACACACACAACTAAAAAAACCAAACCAACAAACAAAAAAGACACCAAAAAAACCACCAAAACTCTTTGTCTGTTTAGGAGCAAGCAAACAGGGAATCAGAATTGTAAAAAAATAGGAATTGTTTTCCCTAAAATCTGGCTAGTGTTATCATAAAGTGATTATATTATTTACAAAAATTTCCAGTCTAGGGAAGGGCAGTGGGTGTGGTAGAGGAGAACCTAAACTGAGCTTCCTGAATTTTGTTCAAGTAAGTTATTCCCTTGAATAAATTACAGAAAACAAATGAGAAACTAAAAACTAAATAGTATGATCATAATTTTTTGAAGTGTCACAGCTTTTAAACCTTAACTTCCATAAAAAAATCTGATTCAGGTCAACGTTTCAGAGTATTGTTGTGGTTCTGTTCCCTGCAATAAATGAGTAATAGATACACTTGCAGAGCTGCAACAGTAACTATGAAAGCTTCATCTGGTCATGCACGCAGTTAGATCTCTCTTAATTCCACCTCCACACATTCATTTCCACATGTTTACAGGCCCTTTTCCTAGTCTTCCCTGCTACCACTCCTCTCCACCAACAAGACAGATATAAACATTACCTTTTGTCGCCTGGTTGCTGATAGGAGGTGGATTTGATGCTGGCCTCTTTGTTGGATGAAGTGGTACAGACAAGGATGTTTCACCATATGGCCTGTCAGGGCTAAGGCTGCCATCACTCAGCCGACATTCTCCTTGAATTAGATTGGAGTCTCGTGTATACTTGCCATGCTGAAAATTCAAGCTGTTGTTATGGACTATATTTCTGTTTTCCTGAACCTTATGATTAGCTTCCGATGTACCCTCTTTCTTGCTGTATTTTTGAGTTTTACTTGTATCCTAGTATGGAAATGAAGAGAAGAAAAAAAAGTGGAAGTTAATACCTTCTGGCTGCAAGTTCACCCCAGTTTTTCTAATTATACTACTGTATCTTTAAAAAAGGTATTTCAGTTCCACCAGTGTCTGACCATTTTATGATTCCATCATTTCTTTTAGCATAGATACCTCTTAAAAATAAGATACAATATAGTATCTCTGTGCAAGCTTTTCCATACACACTACAGATTAATTACACATACTAGTGTACTCAATTTCTCTACTTTTTGGTTTTAATTTGCAGTGATCAAAACAAACACAGTTGCTCTTGATTAAACTGGCCACCATAGCAAGCCATACCATAATCATTGACAACTTAAATAGGCAATTTTTTTTCAATATTCAGCTGACAAGAGAACAAATGCTAAACTGGGAATTACAAACTGCAAGGAGTATCATGCAGTTAGATATTCTTAGAAAAACACTACAAAGCATGCAGTTAAAATACAGCTATTAAATAGCACTGTTATTTTACAGCTTTACTTGTTCTAATTAATTAGTTAATTGTTCTAATGCTTCTAATATAGACAGGTTTAGAAATACTAAAAAACTTCAGAGTGTAAGAGACACAACCTTTCATTTATATATTCCTTGCTTGATTCCACCTGGACATCAGAAAGCAAAAATATTCCTACCTGCTGGCTGTTGAAATGTTTTATCAGTTTGGCAGTACCAATTTCCTAAACAAGTATCTTTACTATAAATACCATCAACAGGTTCTACTTGTTCTGATGCTCTTGTTGGGAATATCAACGAATAAACAATACAGTGCTTCCCCAAGTTAGACTGATGTAAACTCACACTTTTTTTTATAAAGTATTTTTTATTTTTCAAGATACTGCCCTGAGCATCTTAATACTAGCCACTATAACAGAAGAGAGTTTGAAAGGAAAAAAACAAAACAACAATAAAAAAGGCATGATAAAAATATAATACTTAGTTACCAGAACCAGAGGTATCTATTATCAGATACGCAGTGCGGAAAGACCTGTCCGCCATGCTTTGTGCACTTACAACTTCATGATCTCTTTTTCCTATTATCCTGGTTTGGCTAAAACAAGACCAATTCTCTTTTCAGTAGATTTTCCTTCACTTTCATCTAAGTAACTGCACTTTCTGAAGCTGACTACATGTTTTTCAGGCAGTGTCTATTTTTAGAGGTGATAGTGCTTGATGTCTGTAGTTGTCGCCAAGATGATGGTGGGACTGGTATGATGAAAGGCACATGTTTGTCCTCATTCCTATGGGAACCACAGTCACTGTTGGCTCTCTTGTGGTCCACCTGTGGGGAGGTGTAAAAGGGCCACACCCGCAGGAAGCTGCAGATGGGACAGGTGACCAAGAACTGACCAATGCAGTATTCCATCCCATACATGTGGATAGTCAGTATAAAGCTCAGGGATCACAGGAGTCAGCCGTCTTTCTTTGATGGCTGGCATCCCTGTTGGACTCTGCTCACTCTCCTGCCTCCAATCCCAATCTGTGTATTCCTAAATCCGGTTCCCATCTGCTGCCGAACCCAGTCTGGGACATCCAGGTGCCCATCCTGCCACATCAGTGGTACAAGCCGCCGCAGCACACAGTCCCACAATCATCACCAGGAAGGTCAATATTGGTTTCGTATATTTTTATTTCTATTATTAGTAGTATTAGTATTACTCTTTTCCATTGTTATTGTTTTATTAAAGTTTTAATTTTCCAACCCATAAGTGCCTCTCCCTTTTCTCCTCTCCTTACTCTTCTGGGAAAGGAAGGGGTTAATAGAGAGCGTCTGTCATCCGCTTTAAGTGCCAGCCCAGCCTTAAATGGTGACACCTATAAAAACGTGTTCAAAATGTTTAAAGTATTGCTTTACCTGAGGGGTAATCCTTGAAGCTTCATTTAGGTGTTTAGCCCATGCTGAAGTCCCCAAGTCTCCTTCCTCTTGCTTCACAGACCTACCTAAAGAGAAGTTCAACAAGTTTAAATTTTAAAATCAATAACTAGGAATACAAAGTTAATTATATTTTTGAATGACTTTAAAATTAAAACAAGCAAGAAAGGAAAATACAAAGGAAAATACAGATACAAAATAAAAGTTTTCAGAGCTGCTTGGCTCTACACACTAAACTGAGAAAACAATCTCACAGTAAAACACATCTAATTGAAGATCCATATACTACAGTAAGAAGGTCAGACAAATATAATCGTTCAAATTTGACTATACTGATGTTGAAGATAGTTTACTTTCTTTCTTATGCTACAGTTTTCTACCACGGCTTTGTATCATGAGGCGTTCAGACAAAGATGGACATTTAATTTTCAGGTATTATTGACTGTATTGTTTCTAAGCACTGATGTGCTATTCAGGTACAACATATGGAAGATCTATGCTGATAGGCCTATAGAAGAAGTGTCCACACTGAAAATACATTTAGAATACAGTTAACTTCTAAACTTCCCAAGACATCAATTCAATTAGAATTTGGAGAGATCAAAAGGTTTTGCCAAACTTGCTAGCTAAGAAGCACCGTTTCATCTTCTTCACCCATGGAGTTTGACAGATGTACTGGGTCTGGCCGGAACAGAACTTTTTCCTAATAGTCCATATGGTGCTACATTTTAGATTTGTGGCTAAAACAGTGTTGATAACACACCAAACTCTGGGCTGTTGCTGAACAGTGCTTACATGGTGTCACAGCTTTGTCTTTTCCCACTCTGCCCCCTGCAGTAAGTAGGTTAAGGGTAGGCAAGAGACTGGGAAGGGACATAACCAGGACAGTTGACTTGAATTGGCCAAAGGGATATTCTATACCATGGAACATCATGCTTGGCGATAGAAACTGGGGTAGAGGAAGAGACTGGGGGTTTAGGTGGTCTTCCAAGGTGGTCATTGCTCAGAGACTGGCTGAGCGTCAGCCTGCTTGCAGGTGGTGGCGAGTGATTGCCATTGCACAACTTGTTTCTCTTCCTCTTTCCTTCATTTACTAAACTGTCTTTATGTCAACTCATGAATCTTCTCACTTCTTCTGTTCTCTCCCCCATCCCACAAGGCGGGAAGAGAGAACAAGTGGTAGTGTGGGTGCATAGGTGCTGGCCTGAGTCAACCCACCACAATTTAGAGATCTGGATATTGTTTTTCCTTAAGTTACAAAGATGGAAAGGCACCGTATGCATCTATGTGGTTTGCTGGTAAGGGTTTTTTTTATTGTTGTTGTTGTGTTTATTTTTTTGGTGGGTTTTAAGGACATACAGCTTCAATTACCAGAACGCAGACCGTGACATCATACTAGGCTTTCCCGTTATCCATGTAAACAAAAAAAACCCCACATAAACCCCAAACCAAAAAGCTGTTAGTTCTTTGAATTAACACCCTATTTGTTGGTGGGGTTCTATTTGTTTCACATCAGCAAAGCTATAATCCTCTTCCATCTCCTTCTCAAGCAAAGAATTTTCAAACATAATGACTCTTCTTCTCTCTGTTCCAGGAAGTGTTTTTGATTCCTTTGAGGGGATTAGTGGTAATGTTCTGCTGTCTGTCACTCCCAAAAACGCATTTAACAGATGTCTCTTTTCCACAGACATCAAAATGCCACTGACAAAAAAAAGAAAATTTACCTCTGAATTTTCCTCTTCAAGATTAGAATCTCCTTTAATGCACTGCATTCATAGCAGTATTTCAGGAGTAAAGCTAAATATGCCTTCCAAAGACACATGAAAAATCACCAAACAGATTCCTAAGTAACATGCATACCATGAAAGCTGCAATCATGAAGGTTCTGTCAATCTTTTCTGAAGGAGATTACACTTTCATTTTAAATCTAGCTATAACTTTGCCACTCTTGTAAGGATGCCACAAAACTTTTAGATGGCAATATTTAACAGATGTATTCTGATGACCTCTCAAGCTACGTTTGTCCCAGTTTTCAGAACTAACACTGTTTTGGGGGCGGGGGGGCAATCAAAACCAGAAGAATCCCAGAGAACACACCATTTTAAATGTCAGTCTGATTTACTTAAAAACTTGGCTACAAAACTAAAAATGTAACTTTAAGTGCCTATTCTGAGCAGTTTGTCCAAGAGCAGAGAGAAGCAGTGTCACTAGTTCAGATACCTACCACATTCTATTGTTTTGTGGCTCTGAGACGGCTGTCTGTCTTTATGCCGACTCCTGGGGTAGCTTCTGTGCTCCTGAAGAGAGGTTCTTTTATCTGTGCAGTCTGTGCTTTGAGTATGACCTGGTAAACATGTAGTATAGTGCAATCCTGCCATAGAAAGCATGCCCTGAATAGCTTCTTCTTCTGTACTTGTCGAGGTAGGACATTCCCTAGAAAAATAAAGGAGTATTAAGCAGTTCAAAACACAACCCTAAATTTCTCCGAAGAAATGAATTTTACATTGGTATAAAAGCAGAACCAGAAATATGTGTGAAAGGTTCTAACAGTTTATAAACAAATGCCCACAATGTGCTTACTTTTTACTGGGAATTTCATTTCTGGATGGCTTCTGGGTATTTTGACAAAGGTCTCTTGTGACCTTAGATTCCTCTTTGAAATTTGATGTTACTTCCTGTTTCTCTTCATCACCTGAGCTTTCTGACTCCTCTGTGGAGGAATCCTTCTGCTGAAACAAGAGGAAATAGTAGGCAGAATGGTCACCATGCTTCCTAAATAGCGACGCTACCGTCATTTATGCTAAGTAAAAAATTCAAAACTTCCAAGTCCACCTTTTTTATATATATATACAGTATTCAGAATGCAGTTAACTTGAATATAGCAACTGAGATGCTATACACACAAATTTTGTAACACTGATGAGTACATGCTCCAGCAATATAGAAAGCATCTCAAATCCATTTTCTTACAGAAAACACTACACACATTAAACCATGCATAAATCATTGTGTTCTCTTTAATGAGAGTATTGATTATTCTTATCTTCAATATTCAAAGCAGAGGAAAAAATCTGGAAGTATGGTTCCAAGCAGCAGCCAGAATTTATGCCTACTACGTGTAATAGGACACATCCTGCCCCAAGTAACTGTTTCTGGTTCCTGCTCTCACAAAAGATAACTTGCAGCAGCAGCATCTCTCTGATGAGTGACAGAAGCTCTCAGGTCCAGAACACAGCAGGAACAGAGACGCAACAGCTGTTGCCTCTCTTACAGTGACACAGCCTTGTTTCATGAATGAAAAGGCTTTTCAGCTCCTGCTGAGATTACAGCTTGTATGAGCAGGAGCTTCTCAAAGGTGGAGGAACCATATGTGACTCAATATGCCTTTATGTGAAGCAAGGGCTACAACAGATACATTCCATCTTGGTAATTCAGACTATTTTCAACAAGTACAGAGAACACCACAATTGTTTCTCAAGCCAAGGAATATACATGACATTCAGCAAAGTGTTGACAGTGGAAGATCAGAACACGGAGGAATCATCATCCTTCAAGACTGGTACCACTATCCCTATCATAAAAAATGGAACTGGAATGAATGAAGTGCATGGTATCACCAATGGACGTTTTTATACAACAGCTTCATTCACAATAGCAGCTTGTTAATCTTTAACACTTGGAAAGTGACACAGGCAATTAAATTGTAACTATGACTCAATGTTAGTAATAAAGCTATTATCTTGTTCTGTTAAGATCTTCTTTGGTGCAATATAAAAAACATAAAAAGGATTTACAGGAGCTACTGAGACAGTTCAGTTTGGATATACCATTACAAAAGAAAAACTTAAACATGCAGAAAAATTATTCCATTATATACTATTAGAATTAAGAAGCAGAAGAATATAGAAGGAACTAAGAGAGCAAATGGCATTATTATAAAACATTTAACTCAATAATAAAGTCATCCGAAATTGGCTACATTCTCCTGTGAAGATGAAATACATCACTTCTGAATAACTATTAATTCTGTGTCTTAAAAAATGAAACCTGCTGAGTCAAAGTTGCTGACAATGCAGTTTAGGAAACCAGAAGATGCCACATCATTAATGTTCCTACCACTTACTCCAACATCTAGATAAGGTAATCATGGAAGACAACAAGTATTAAAAATAGATCTTCACCACCATCGAAGAAGTAGGAATTTGAAGACTTCTTGTAAAGTCTTATATAGGCTGATGATTGAAAGACAGCCCAAAGCATTAGCTTTCTAGAACCACAAAACAAAAATTTGACGTAATCACTCTACTCTACTAGCATTTTACTGCTATCCAATTAAAATTAGTAAGTCAGAGCATAATTTTGCAAGGGAAAAAAAAATCGTTAAAATATTTGTACATACATATGCACATTTCTAAAAGTTGTATTAGGATAAATGTGTGTAAATATATATACATGTACACTTCTGTGTGCATGTTTACATTTTGTTTAGTTGTAAAGAAATCACTATGATCTAGACCCTCAAACGGAGGATTTCCCTTTATTTCAAATAGTTTAAAACACCTCAATAGGATTTAGCCACTTCCGCTTATTTAAAAACCTGAAGGCGTATAAGATTGTTTCCATTTAACCATGCTCTAAGACGAAACTATGTGACAGATACTCCTAATTCTAATATTGAAATTTAGACTTGTTATGGAAGAAATGAACAAAGCAACTAGGATCTAACTTTTCTCAGACTTTGCATGTTCCAGAGCACGGTTCATCCTCTGCCAGCTCCACTTTAATGACAAAAACAATCATAAAATTTGGCTCAAGACAGCACATCTTGTCATTTTTCTCAACGATAGAATAAATGAATAATGAGGCAGAATTGTAAGTCTGAGATATTAGCTTGAACAAGAAGTAAATACTTTGTTATTGCTCTTTTAGCACAAACTTTGACCAGATAAATTTGAAGTGAATGAGCAAAATTTTATTTAATTGCTTCATTAATTTCTATGACTTTTTCTAGCTATACCTGTGTAGTGCAATCAGGTTCAGATTCTTCTGAATCAGAAATATCAGAGTACTCTGAGGATCCATTCCTGAGTTCTGATTTCACACTTTCAAAGAACACTGTGGAGAGAAAAATTGAAATGTAAGACCCAACATTTATTACATATAATATTTAACAACTATTTTGGAAGTAAAGAACAAGAAACACATATCTAGTTTCTAGTCTGTAAAAAAAGGCACATCCACACATTGATCTGGTTCACAAATCAAGTTCGCTTAAAACTCTAGTGAGTTGTGTACTGTTGATCAATAGACTATTCAAACAACTGACTGGATAAAGCTAGAGGAAGAGAAACCAGGTGCAGCAGGAGCATGTATATTTTCTCTCTCATAAAGCACATACTCCACAGATGGTGTCTTGGGCAATTTCTGCTTTCATATACAGGTTGAAGTCAGAGAAGCAGCTCTCAGAAAAAGTTAACTGGAAGTAATCTTGACTATTACTTCGTCTTAGACTCCTGAACCTTGAATTTCCTTCTTTAAAAATAAAACGAGTTATTCAGAAACACTAAACATGGAAGTCAGAGGACATTAAGTGATTTAAAGGTTAAAAAAAATAAATCATTGCATTACATGTAATTTTACTTTTACACCACAATTCACTAGCATATTCTGCCTGTTTTGTGTTACTACAGAGCTGTCAATCAGGGTTAAAATGCAGGCCTCAAAGAAGATTAAAATATTACTGTGATGATACACAATATACTTGCATTGGTTTTCATCACAGAAAGACCTGAAAAGGAAGAAGAGGAGAGGAAACACCAACCTTAGACACGCTTCTTGCCAGTAGTAAGACAAAGTACTAATCAGAGAATGAGGTGTCAAAACAGACATCAAACACACTGGCGTATGACAAAACAATCAATCAAATCAGCCACCTAGTCCACATGGTTTACTTTAAGTGCTGAAAGAACTAAAACATGAAGTAGCTAAGCAGCTCTAGAAGCATGTACTCTTAAAAGACAGCATATGTCCCAAACAATCAAGAGTAGGAAACACATTTGTAAGTGTTCAGAATCCAAGGCTCAAGGTGAGTGGGCTGTAGGTATACCTGTGTCGAGGCTGCTGGCAGAAATCTTGATTAAGTACGGATTTGTGAAAGACTATAATATGCAGTTTAACTAGCAAAAGCTTTTTGGAGAAAAGCCTAATAGAATAATAAAAAAAAAATAAATTTATGAATGTGTGTCAAGAAGGTAGTGGATAAAGAAAGCAATGTAACTTTTTCAAGTTTTCAAGTACTTACAGTTTCATACAAAACTATGCTGAAATCAAACCAACATTTTAACTGTACTTGTCTTCATTCCAGAGCTAATTTCTAATCTGTGTTGGTTTGCTTTCAGCATAGTTTAATATGAAACCACATAAACAGAACGCAATTCTTCATAACTCATTAATTATGCAAGCATAAAAGATGTATCTGTAACCCTATATACACTGTAATTCTAGTAGGATTTTGTTCCTACTGTAGACTGTGGCAAAGCTCACAAATAGGCATCAAATATATTTCAAGAGGTATTATTAATTTCTAAACACTGCATAAGTGGAAATTATTTTTAGAGTCAGAAGAAAGCTAAGAATGAGATAGGTTATCAAAAGTGAATAAAATGAACAGCTGGGACCAAAATCTACAGCAGACTAATTAAACTTAAGATAGCATTAGAAAGAACTGCAAGAAATATCCAAACATAGTAAATGAGCAACAATACTGTATACAAAGTTAAGCTAAATAAAGTAATGCTCAACACATGACAATAAAATTAATATTCTAAATTACTGTAGCTCAAAAAAACCCAAGAGATTCCTGATGATAACTCAAGCCTTCAGTTCATTTCAAAAAAGCAAGATTCTAAAATTCATTTCAAAAAACAAGATTCTAGGATAAGCAAGAGCATGCATGATACAGAAAATAATACCCATTATACAGCTCAAATGAATTTTCCTTTGGACTATTGCCTTTTTCAAAGAAATAAACTGCTCCAAACTTAGAGACAATTTAAAGGAAGGGACAAGAACAATTAAGGATATCTAAATATGCTCACATGTGGAGCTTCAGATCTTAAGCAAAAATCAATGTGTAAATAATGAACAACAATTTAAAAGTAAACAAACTTCATGAAGGCTCCTCAGGAACTTTTCTTCTTTCTGTCTTAAGGAACTGCAAAATCCTAATTATTAAAATGACAAAACTCTTAAGAAGAAATGTGAGTCTTCCTCTAAGAAGGCAAATGAGTCAGCAAGACAGAAAAGAAACTGGACATCTACATAATTAGCTACACACATACAATACTAAGATTTATAAAAGCGATGCTAAATACAGAGTCTCATACTTCAGAAGCCCTCTTGCCTTCTCATAGAGATAACTGATGATACTCTGCTGAGAGGGACAAACTATTTGTCTTCTGCCTGCTATCTGGTAACATGATCTAGACTGAATGGCTAAAGCCACCTAAAGTTATTGAGACATTCCTGGTTCATTTGGGACTGGGTACTAGCTTATATGACATAACACACTATGAGCCCCAGGTCTGATGCCAATGTTCGTATATGCAGCCAAACCCTTGCCCATTTTTACCACTTCTTTATTTTGCAAGCCCTGTGCAAAGCAGTCAGAGAATACCTCCCCAGTTTTCCTTCTGCCTTATATTGTTCAAAAAGCCAGACAAGCTGCATTGCTTTATCCTCTTCTTAAAAAGTAAAAAAATAAATAATAAAAAAAAAAATTCCCAATTGCTCAACCCCGCCCTCCCACCTTTCTATATTCCCCTGCAAAAAATTGCTGTAGCTTTCTCATCCTTCGCAACAGATTTCAGATACATTTACTGATTTTCACAACACCACATCATGTATTATTAGGACCCCTCATCTCTTCATCCATGAATGTGGCTTGTAACTGAGCTTTAAAAATTTCAGCCTAAATACACAAGTTGGGTTTTGCTTTTTTGGGGGGGTCTTTTGTTTGGTTGGTTTTGTGAATTACCTTGGTCATTACTTAATTACTATTGTCACTTTAAAATGAACTGGTCTACCCTCTGATAAAGTTAGGGCTCTGCATGCTTCCAGAGACTGGGAGAAATACTCCAGAAATCAGGTGAATGAAAGCAGTCATTATCTGTAAGATCAGACTAAGCTACTGTGAAAAAAAAAAAAAGTCTTAGATCACATTCCCTTCATCCACACAAAGTATCTTGCTCTATTAAGCACAGCATTTGATCTTTGTCTCTCTGATAACAATGGGTCACCATTTAGAACCAGGATCTTGGCATGACACACAGAGCTTGATCTGTCTAAAGGCATCTCTCTGTGGACATTGCTTCTTGGCCTAAATCCCAGTAACAACAATGGAAGGTGCCAGTTGTTACAGAAATAGGTAGTCCTTTTCATGGAATTCTCTGCAGAAGAGTATCTTCTCTCTCTCTCTGCAGACCTTCAGTTAAGGCAAAACGATCAAGTGTAGGTGATCTTTAATAGGGAAGTCTGAATACTCTCACTATTCAATTAAAAATATTAATGATAGACCTGACTACTCAATTTCTGGAAGAACCACCTCAACATTCACTTCTAGTTCCAAGTACATTTCTTACATTTCGATACACACTGCTGTATTCATTCTGTATCAAATAAGAGCAATAATTTTGAAGAAAATCTACCATTTCTCTGCATGATTTAATCTTTGATTCAAGTGTAAAACTTAAGTTTAATTTACTTAGTTTAATTTTGAAAGTGAAAAAACACCACATATGCCTAAGCCTTCACTCAACAAGCCATTTGCCTTGTTGGTTCATGAGTACCCAAGAGGGACCTCTTTCCTGTGCAAATTTTTTAATACTGTCCTCTGTGACCTTTGGAAGCACAGTCAGCAGGGATTACAAATTGCTTTGTTAACGAAAATAATTACATATTTTATCCAGGCTGACAATGGATTCAAATGTTGTTACAGATTGTGTGCAGGAAACTAAGAGAACTGTAAGTCTCTAGAGGAGTCTTACCATCTTCTAAATGCTGACCTCCGTTTCCTAATACATATCCTCTGAGCCTTTGTAAGCTCTACTGTGAAAGGATGTGACTTTTATAATTAAACAGAGAGCTGAACAGCTATGTCAAGGACCAATTTGTCAATGCACACAGTTAGTGTTATTAAAAATAGGCACCGAAAACAGGCATTCAATATTGATACTTTACTAATACACTTGGCAGGAAAGCTTGAGGCTACAGAAAGACCAAAAAAGATTCACTCCTAGTGACGGACAGTTTAAAGTGTTTTACAGATAACCTAAATTCTTCCCCAGCCTTGTAGATTACTGCAAAGGTTGAAAGTATAAATTTTATTAATGCTAAATTATGTTTGGTCACTTGCATGGAATAAACCTATCATTACCAAAACATACAAAATTGTATGATCGAGTATGAATCACCAAATGGAACAGAAAAGCAAAATATAAAAGAGGTTTAAAATTAGCTACATGTTATGATCTTGTATTCTCTACGGTGAATGATGTGATGAACTTTTCACACTGAAGTATATTTTGGTCAAGAAAAATCAGCACCCTTGCATTACGAAACAGACCAAAAGGAACAAATTAAAAGGCTAGCCAACGTGACGCCCATCTAC